CCCACCTGTGGAGCCAGCCGAGGAGAAGCTCGAGGAGCACGAACCACAGAAGTAGACAAAACGACATAAACAGAAATTTGTGTTAGGTCGGGCATGCCCCCCTACATACGGATTTTGGGCGCAAAATGAAAAATAGTCAGAACAAACTTAAAAAAATGCCCGAAAAGTCATCACCGTACTATTGTTTGACTATGTTTGAAGATTCCCCCTGTAGATGGACAAGCCCGACTTAAAAGTAGGAATAAACGCCATAAACAGAAACTTGTGGCGCCCCGCGCGGCTTTCGTGAATCTGGGCGGGACCCCCCTACCCTGGCGCGCGCAGCGCGCCAAGGGCGGCGCCTGAGGCGCCGCGCGGGGGGGGGCCAGCGCGGGAAGGGGCAGGGCAGGAAGCAGTGAAGGGGCCCAGGGACACACAAAAAATGCACACAGATCCCAGGATCCCCCATACTTTTCCACATTTTCTGGGTCTTCGTCTTCCCCCCACATCCCATGTTGTCCCATATTCTCTGAGCATCGTTTATCCGATCCCTATCCCCACGGGCGTGGCCTGGGCCCCACTGGCCGGTTTCCTCCCCTAGATGGGGATATATGCCGTTCCCTTAGGGTTTCGAAGGGTGTATCCCCAACTGGGGGGGCAATTTGGTGGGAGTCTTGAAGGGTATGGGGATAGGGATGGGGATGGGGGTCGGTTGAACGATACTGAGGACAACATCGGGCGAGGATACCTCGAGAATCCCGAAGACGAGGCCAGGACGAGGATACATTCGGGCAAGCATAACTCGAGAATCTCTGAGATCCGGCGGCTCTGGAGGGTGTCTCGGGCAACGCGGCATTCTCGGGGCGTTCCGGAACGCTCTGGAACGGGTCGATCCTCGTCCTAACCCCGTCCCGACGGGGCCCGCGCGTGCTCTGGGGGCCAGGCGGGCGCCGGCCTAATCGAGCCCTGATAGCAAACCATCCCCTTCCGTGACGTCATCCTCGCCTTTCGGCCTCCCCTCCGGCCGCATTTACATACATCTTGGCGCGAGGCGACGGGGACGTCACGGAAGGGGATGGTTTGCTAGGGGTCGGTCAGGCAGCCCCTGGTTGCCCAGCGGGCTGCTCTGGTAAATCCTGGCGCCTCACCTCCATCAGATCAAAAGCGGATCGGGGTACATCTGCACCGAGTCGAATCGGGATACATCAGGAATCTCTGAGATCCGGCGGTTCTGAAAGTTGCATCGGGAGCCACGGCATTTTCAGAGCGCTCCCGAGGGCTCTGGGAGCGTTCTGGAACGCTCTGGAGCAAGAGGCCTCCAGCAGGCCCGCAAGAGGCCCCCTGAGAAGCCCACGGGGGCCCCCAAGAGGCCACTTAGAGACTCCCAAGGGGCTCCCAGGACGCCACTAGAAAGCCCCAAGAGGGCCTCAAGATGCCTCCTCTTCTCCCTCCTCCTCCTCCTCCTCCTTTTCCTCCTTCTCCTCCCTCTCCTCTTCTTCTCTTCTGCTCCCAATTCTTCCCCGAAGGGGTTCCACAACGGCCGGGGGAACTTTTGTCCGTCAGCGGCGAGGCGGCGAAATCCGCTCCAGCGAGAAGCTAGATGGGGGCACTAACAAGTGAATTGGCCGGCGAGCAAAGAGGGGGGGGAGGACGGCCGGGGGAACACATAGTCCAATAGCTTGGCCAGACTTCGGCCAAACGTTTGGCCGCCTGGGCGCTTCCGCGATGCAAGGGGCGGCGGCGCTTCCTCAGGGGCGTCTCCGATAATCGCATACTGTGGGGTCGGGGTGGCTTCCCCTCCCTTGCCTTGTCGCACTGTCGGACTGAACTTCGGCCTTTGGGGGTGGGGGGAGGGCGCTGCCGGGCCAGACTTAGGTCGGGCATGTCCTCCTACAGGCGGAACTTGGAGGAAAACATCTTGCAAAATAATCACAAGACGCTCAACACTTGTGCAACAATCAAAGAATCGCCCCCTGGCTATTTGTTTGACTATGTTTGAATATCGGGGACCTTCTGACCCGGGTCAACCCAGACCCGGGTCAGCCAGGGCTTGCAGAATCCTGCAAGATCCTGCAAGACCCTGCACCCAGACCCGGGTCAATGCGAAGGATCCCGCAGGATCCTGCAGGATCCTGCACCCAAACCCGGGTCAATGCGACCCTGGCCCTGCAGGATCCTGCAAGGTCGGGGCGCTCTGGCTGACCCCCGTCTGCATTGACCCCCGTCTCAAAGCTCCCGAGAATATTCCTCCTGTAGAGGGGCACGCCCGACTTCAGGCCAGACGGCGCTGCTTGGCCTCCAGGGAGAGGGGGGGGGCGGCGCGGGCGCCGTCGGGCCGCCGCGCTGCTGCACGATGCGGGAGCGCGCGATCCCCGCGCGGCCTCTCTTGGCGGCGGGGAGGGGCAGCCCTCCTTACACATCCTCTGGGAGCGCAGGGTGAGCCACCCTCCACAGGAAAAACACAGCCCAGACGAGCGAAGCCGCTCCGTAAACGCGCCCAACGATGGAATCGAACGGGGCAGGGCTGCTCGGCACACGCCCAGGGCCGTTGAGTCCGCCACCGTGCCGCGAGGCGCGAGCTGCAGTGCCCTCGGGCAGCTCTTTGCGCCTCCGCTCGCGCACGCGCCCACCCGGCAGCACCGTCGGACCCCCCCGGTGCCCGGCTCTCGTCCGCCGACGCGGCAGCCGCCCGCCGGGAGGCGCGCTTGTCGCGGCCCCGTGCAGGGCCCCGTGCACGGGCAGCCGGCGCGCAGCGCAGATGCCAGTGCGGCCAGCGCCACCCTCCCCCATGCTGACCAGCCCCGATCTGTTTCCAATCCCTGAGGTGGACAGGCCCAAGGGCGGTGACAAGCGTAGGGGGTTCGCCCTCAAAAACGGAGGGGACCCTTTGGGTGGGCACCGAGGTCGGGTGGTGCCGATCGTGTGGACAGGGATGTGTTCGGGGCTGGCAACTTGCGGGAGCGTTCACGGGGGGTGGTGCCCAAGAGGGGAGTGCACATCTCAGGACCCGAGGCATGTGCTCGGCGGGGGGGGGCAGGGGGCTAGAGGCCTCCTATATGGGGTCCGAGTAGATGGAGACGAATGATCGCGCCGCATCGCCGATGCATCGCCGATATATCGGCGACGCATCGGCGATACATCGGCACGTCGGCGATGCATCGGCGACATCGGCGTGGAGAAAATCTGGCTCCACATCGAGCCACATCCCCGATGCATCAGCGATACGGAGCGACCCTCCGACCCCATATGCTCCGGTCCCACCTGGGAGGCCCAGATTCACGCACGGACATCAGACGAGGGGGCCACGACGTCCAGAACATGGCCCCGACCACGATCTCCCCGACCCCTCTCGTCATCACCCCCCTCAGGGCCGCCCCCGAGCCTTCTCCTGCGCGGCCCAAGCGGACTCTCATCTTAGACGAGGTCAAGACCTTTGCGAAATCGGACCCAGCCGAATCCCAGATCGACTTCGCGCATCGCGCCCCGCGATGCGCGACGCACGACTAATTTTGCGCCGTCGCGGCCCCCGCGCCACCGCACTGGCCCAGACCGCCACGCGCGCAGCGCGATTACCTTCGCGCCCGTCGCTTCGGACCTGAGACCCGGCGGCTCTGGAGGAGGTGTCAGGCGACGCGGCCCTTCAGGGGTGCTCCACAGCGCTCCGAGACTGTTCCAGAACGCTCTTAGGGAAACCCCCCAAAAAGCGATACCGCTACTCCCCGGACCTCTCCCGGGGCGCGCTGTGGGGGAACAGGAGTAGGGGGGGGAACATCAAGCTAGAATCGGCGATACATCGCCGATAAATCGGCGATAGGCCTCCGATAGTGAATCCGCACCTTCTTGGGCGGGGAGGGGCTATCGGGCCCCTAACGGCGATGATGGGCGATTGGGGGTCGATGGATCCCCCCTTATCCCTATCCCCCCCCTACCGTACCATAAGGTACCGATACCACTGCTCCCTGGACCTCTCCGGGGGTGCGTTCTGACCAAAACTTCGAGGCGAATCCAGCGGTGGCGACGAGGGCCTCCCAGGAGGCCTATGGAGGGGAAAACGAGCACAGGGTGGCGGTAAGGATACCGTCTTCTCCTCTGAATTCCAGAAGGCCCTGGGTCGGGGATCTTCTGACCCGGGTCAGTCCAAACCCGGGTCAGCAGGAAACCAAAAACTGCAATGCAGGAAAAAAAACTGCAACGCAGGTCTTCGCAAACCCAAGTCAGCCAATATGTGCGGCCGCCTCGCGGCCACGAGCGGCTCGCTAACCCGGGTCAGCCAGAGGGGGTCTTCGCAGGATCCTGCAGGATCCGGTGCCGTGGCTGACCCCCGTTTGCATTGACCCCCGTCTCAAGGCTCCCGACTGGGAAGGTTCCTCCCGGTCCCGGCTCCGCCCGATCGTCGCAATCGCCCTCACGAGTTTCCGTGACGGGGGCGGGCGGGGCCCCTGGAGGCCAGGCGGGCGTCCGCACGCCGAGAGGGGGCCGGGGGGCGGCTCGGGCCGCGACGCGGAGAGAGACGTGAAGACGCGCGCACCCGAGGCAGCTGCACTGTGAGATCGAGCACGTCGTCAAAGTCGCGAAGACAATCCTGGAGGCCTCGCGCGGCAACTCGAGACCCGAATTGCGTCGGATCCACGTCGGATGTACGTCGTGTTCACGCCGGACTACGTCGGATTTACGTCGGATGTTCGTCGGACTGACTCCGGAGCATCGCCGCGCGAGCGTCGACCCATAGCTCGAGAACTGACAAATGGAATAAAGCATACTACTGTTACGCGCCGCGCGAGGCCTCAAGGATTGTCCTCATAATCAAAATGCTGCGCACTTCTGCAGAATCCCAGCAACCCTTCATGGCGTGGGTGGTTTGGCGCGCGTCCCCGTCCAACCCCCGCCTTCCACTTCGAGGAGGATTGTTGCTTCTCTGCTCCTCGTGAAGAGAAACCCCCACCCAAACTGGGGGCGAACCTGGAACCATGACCACCCCCCAACCACAAGTCCTGTCAGAAACACTTCAACATTACACCATGCGACAGAATCACGATGGCGTGCGAAAGCCCAGCGCATCACTTCGCATTGTGCTTCGGCAAGGATCACAGGCCTGTGCGCAGCCTGTACGCAGGCTCCGCGGCAGACCTATGCGCAGGCTGTGCGTAGGCCTGTCGCCGTGCGTCAGCACCTCCACAGGCCCACCAGAAGCCGACCACAGTCCTGTGTGCAGGCCATGCGCAGGCCTGTGGTATGACTTGCGTACGCTGTGCGTCGAACTATCGCGGAACGCCAGCACCTCCCAAGGCCCCCGCATAGGCCTACCACAAGCTCGCGCGTAGCCCATGCACACACCTATGGTAGGCCTATGGGCAAGCTGTGCAGAGGACTATCGCCGAGCGCCCACCCCTCCATAGGCCCACCAGAGGCCTACCACAGGTCTGTGCATAGGCTACGCCTAGGCTTATCGATAGCATGTGCGGAGGCTGTACACAGGCCCATGGCGACACGCCGCCCTCACCATAAGCTCATTGGACGCCTTCCAAAGGTCGATGCATAGCCTACGCACGAGGAATTACGGGGCATGTTCCAAGACTGCACACGAAACGATTGTAGGCCTGTGCATCGGCTATCAAAGACCCCAGGATGCATGGGCCAACTGGTCCTTAGAAAGGCCACCGATCGACCTGTGATAGGCCCATGGGCCGGTTGTGCGAAGGCCTGTCATAGGCCTATCGGCACGCAATGCATAGGCCTAGAGTACCCCAGTGCCCAGACTGTGGTGACGCCTGTGGCGAATGAGATAGTAAGCCTATGCACGGCTTGCCTACAGGCCCACTAGAAGCCCACCGATAGGTCACCTATAGACCTATGGTGGGCCAAACAGTTGGCAGTGCGTAGACCTAAAACAGGTATGTTGGTAGGATGTGCATAGACCTACAGGAGCTTATAATAGGCGACGATAAGCTATCGCCAGGATTGATTGTTGACCTGGTCAACTCGGCCGACCATTGGCTGTGTGTCCAGTCTCTGGGCGCCGGCGGATGCGCAAAACCTGCAGCAGCCCATTGTTATCCGAACGCTGAAAATTCTCCAACACTTCGGACGTAACGCGTCAGAACTCGCATCCATGCACAGCAGAAGTAGCCACCAAAAGCGACCCCGCTCTGATCTTAGCAATTAAGAAGCCTGCTGTGCACAAAATACCCCTGTGCGTGTGGAACACTTCATCGGCGATGGTCTGCCTCTATTGTAAGCACCCAGACCTGCTTGCAGATCTGCGAAAGAACACGCCTGGAAGAATTGTCTTCGACTACGCTATACGCTAACGTATTACTTCGCTTCGACCACGAATTCACATTTCAAATCAATTGCTTAAAGTCCCCTGGGCACGATTGACAAGGAAGACGGCTTTCAGAAGAAATCGAGCCGACCAAATCGCTCCGAGATCACGCGAATCCTCATGGCTGTCATCACTTGATTGGCCGCAAAACGAATCTCGCTGTCGTACCCAATCGTGTGATGTACGTACTGCGCCCCGTCCAGGACATCGAGCTGACATCCGAACCATTCCTCCGCCCAGGAATTCGCAGGTGGCTGCATCTGAGCAAGGTCGAGAGCCAGCCGCTCATCAAGGGTCTCCACACCGCCCTGCCTCTGAAGATTGCCGTAATGAAAAAACGCGTTGGCCCCTTCGCCCGGCAACTGAATACTGGCCCTCATGACAACTAATTTGCGCATATGTGCCAGCGGACGTGCCCTGGCTGCCTGTGGACGCACCCAGTGCACGAAGAATGATCGCAATGCGTTCGCGTTGCATCGAATCGAACGCAACATCCCCACCGTGGAACGCAATCAGGACGTCAAGGGCCATGGCGTAAGCAAGGTGCAAGAATTGGCGTACCACACCAATTACGTGAATCGTACGGCAGAAAGGCTTCCAGCCGTAAGAGTGACGTTGGTCGCAGCTGTCGTCGCAATAGCGACCAGAGTGAACGCACAAAGCACTAGTTTTTGAGCGATCGCACGGTTCTCAATTTCGGGATCCCCAAGAACTCGAGTTCTTTAAACGTCGTTCGAATAATTCATATGAACACAAGCGTGCCTCCCATGGTAGCTTTGAACATGTCCATGGGGAGACCGTCAGCTCCAACGTCCTTCCTGCTAGCCAGTGACGCCCAGGCCTGCAGAACAGCGAACACGTCAAGATCAGGGAAAGCAGGTCCACAACCATCTAACTTGTCTGCAAGGACGGCGGAGAGAAAGTAGACTAGCCTTATTAGTTGTTGCTGCGTCGTGCGTATTCGTTTACAAATCTATGGTGACCGAACTCTCGTAAAGCGTAAATCCACTCGTAATGATCTGTGGATACTCCACTCGCATGATCAAGCTGCACTGGCCGAAACATGTTTGAGAAACTGGACAACGTCAAATTGGTCAAACGTCGTTGTAATAGCTGCCGCCACCGTTTTGACCGTGCGCACCAAATCTGACGTATGCTGCTCCGCCACTCGACTCCCGAGACTACTCCCGTGATCAATCGCGCAGACAAGCGACTGCAGTTCCGGGATCGTCACCTGTCATGCCAGCATCTGGGATCCATCTTTGAGCTGGAGCGCGCGATGCAATATCTTTGAGTTCGCTCTCGATGCGTGCAAGGTCGTGTTCGCAAGCTAACAGTTCTCTTGTAAAAACAAGTGTGTGATGCGCTGCGCGTGGTTTCCATTTAGTGAATGTTACTGGCCGCGGAGGGATAGTGGAGATGGGCTATCACAGGTCGGTGGTCGAATTTGAACCGGGTATAGAAATCATTCAGCCTGATATCGTGTTGAGCGTACACTGTTCCCTTGAGCTCGGGCGAAGCGCAAAGATATGATATGTGCGATATCGCTTCCAATGGGCGTTTGAGATCGCATGTTCAAAAGGCTGCCTCAGATATCCAAGCCGTCGAAAAAGGTTCAGGCTTGCATGAGGAACTGTCATCCGAGGCAACCGGTCGCTGCTATGCATTAGTGTGGCTACCATCACTGCTCAAACAATACAAACTGCACTTTGCGGCTGAAGGTCGATCATGCGCGGGCACCCCGCGATCCTTTGCACTGGTTCTTGACAGGGACGGCAGGGGTGCTGGCATAGTGCCTGCTGTGTGCAGGCCCACCAAGCATCATGATGGCCAATCCGTGGCGATTGCGCGTCGGCTTTCTACAAGGATGGTGGGGGCCGACATGTTCCCCAATGAGCGCGGACGCACCTCGCAAAATCTGCGCGTGCCCCGAACGTGGCGTACCTGGCGCGGCTGGAGCATGCGTTACACTTGGCGAACGTGGGGCACGTGGCGCATCTGGCGAACCCAGCGTCCCTGGCACGGTTGGGCCCCATGGGCGCCTGGCAGACTTGGTGCACGTGGCGCGCCTGGCACGCCTGGCGGACCTCGCCCAAGCGTCGATCATCCTGCGGTCAGAATGGGTTACCAATACCTGCCCACCCAAAGACGACCGCTGAATATGCTGAGACCAGGTACGACTCATGTGCTGGGGGAGCTGGTGGGAGTGAGCCAGACAGCTTGCGCCTGGGAGACGTGTATTGCCCCCTCTCCGTGCCCCCTCCCAGTGGGTCTGGACGGATTGGAGCAACCAAAACTGCCCAAGATGGCTCCAAGATTGCCTCAAAGAGCTAAAAATAACCTGCACAATGGCTCAAGATAGCACGCAATCGACAAAAATGGCTTCCAACATTCTGCAAGAGGCCCCGAGACCGCTCCAAGATAGATTCAAGTGGCCACGGGGCCTGCAAAGATGCCTACAAGATGCCAAAACAGATCGAATGTGTTTTACAGTCTCGCCTTCTCGCTTCCGATGGGCTCTGGAAGCCCCGAGATGGTTCCAAGATGGCCCAAATGGACCCACCGGGCGGGACCCACCAGGAAGAGAGCCCAAGAGCGCTCGCAGAGCGGCGGCCCAATTGCGCCCCAAGAGGCGACCCCGGGGGGGGGCTTTAAAAGAACGGGGTTGCTACCGTTCACCCCTTCGATGAAAGCCAACACGTGTAAAAAACCGTTGGTTGTTGGAAAGAGTTCGGCAGATTGGGGCCATCCCTGGGAGGCGACTGGGCCAACATAGCTCCAAGATGGCTTCAGAGAGCCCAAGATGGCCTCCAAGAAGGCCAAGCCAATGTCTCCAAGAGGTTCCAAGATAGCCCCAAGTCGGCCCCGAGTGGCCACGGAGTGTCACAAGGAGGCTCGAAAGAAACATACATCCTTCCCAAGCCGATGAAATGCTGAACACACGGTTAGTCAGTGTAGACCCAAAACAGTGCGTGATTGCAGTGGAGATGGGCTGTATAAGGTTGAAAGGTACGTGCTGAAAGCAACGTCGTGTAAGCCATGCTGTGTGGGCGAAAGACGTGAAAACGACGCGGCGTACGTGATTTCATTTGGTGTAAGCTATGTCGCGTAAACTGTGCTATATGACCGCAAGGGGAACGCGATGGAACGCATGCTGTGTGATATACGCTCTGATGTGTAAGTAATGCGGTGTAACCGATGCAATGAGAGCAACGTGGTGGAAACTATGTGTTGTAAGCTATGCTGTGTGAGCCATGGAGGTGGAAACGATGCGGTGCAAACAATGCTGTGCAGTGTCACCTACGTCGCGTAAGCAATGCGATGTGACCCCAAGGAGAACACGATGGAGAGGCAACCGCGTGATGAGCGCTATGCTGCATAAGCTATGCGGTGTGACCTACGCAGCGCAAGCTATGTGCTGAACGCTATACCATGCGAACTCACGAGGCACCAACGCAGCGGCACGGGCGGCACGGTGGCCCAACTTCAACATACCTCCCGAGTGCGGGGCACCCACGAGGCGTCCACGAGACTCTCGTTGATGATGATGCTGATGCTGATGCTTAAGAGAAAATAAGAATAATCATAAGATGATGACGACGATGATAATGATGATGGTGATGATGATGCTGATGATGACGATAATGTTGACGATGATGATGATGATTTTGATGGTGATGATGATTATGATGATGATAATGATGATGCTGATGATGGTGGTGATGGTGATGGCGATGGTGATGATGATGATCGTGTTGATAATTACGATGACGATGATGATGGAGACGATGGTGAGGATGACGACGACGACGACGACGACGACGATGATGATGATGATGATACGACGATCATGATGATGACGACGACGACAATGATGATGATTATGATGATGATGCTGATGATGATGATGGTAATGATGATGACGATGCTGATGATGAGGAGGAGGAGGCGGAGGAGGCCCCGGGGAAGCGCCAAGAAGCCACTTCGGGGCCCCCAGGGAAGCCCCAAAGGTCCCCCAAAACACCCCAATAATTCATGTTCCCAGAAAGGCTTCCAGGAACCTGATTCCTCAGGCTTCCGCCCCCCGCGCCGACCATGTTCCCAAAAGTCGTGCCGGGAAGCTCCCCAGAGGCACCTCAAGCCAGCCCAACCTCTCAGACAGCCTTCCGGGGACATTTTTTTTCGGGTTTCCGCCCCACGCCCAAACCATGTTTCCAAAACGCCTGCCAGGAAGTTGCACCCCCAGAGAGTCCCAAGCAACGCTACCTGCAGCCTCGTTTGGAAACGCCTCTCCGGCACGGGTGGCCCAGATGGTGATGATGTTGATGGTGAAAGTGATTATGACGACGACGATGATGATGATGGCCATGCTGATGATGATGATGTTGATGATTCAGATGATTATGATGATGATCATGATGATGATTATGATGACGATCATGATCAAGACGATGGTGAGGATGACGACGACGATGATGATGATGCTGACGATCATGATGATGATGACGACGACGACGACGACGATGATGATGATGATGATGATGGCAATGATGACTAGGCCCTTGGGAAGCTCCAAGAGACCCCCACGGGGCCCCCAGGGAAGAGGTCCCCCAAGGGGCCTGGAAGACAGGATTCAGCTTCCACGCGAGTGGCCCCATGGGGTCGGCGGATGAGTGTACTTTTCTGGTGGACGATACTGTAACTGCACGTGGGTCGCCACGTTGCCGCATGTGCATTGTAGGAGTCGTCCCGTGCGTCACTGCCAACTGCAAGTTTCGCACGCACAGCAGCGTCGGCAGCAAATGCTTGTTGTGTGCACCTCTACCTGTGCTACCCTTTTGCTCCACAGACGGCTGCCCGAATGTAGTGCATGATCCTGAAGATACATCCTGCTGCCTCTGTCTGTAATCCTGTTTCCCATGCTCCGTCCATAAGTGTCCAGGTCGCACTACACCATCCAGCCACGGCCTTTGTAGCCATTGTGTTCGCTCCTCGCAGGCGCCCTCTTCGTCAATGTTGCCATCGGGGACAGTCGCGTGCGCAAATGCTCCCAAAGGGTGCTCTGAGGTTGTGCAGGGGACGCCATCTCAGGCCACATGCACGTTGTGTTCGTCCCGCGGTCCGCCCTGCTTATACGCAGGCATTGGTTGCCTTCGTCGCGTTGGCCGTCAGGCAACCAACCCTGCATGTGTCCATTGTCTTCGCGGCCGTCCGCCGTGCAGGGGTCGTAATGGCACAGGCTGCACAAACAGGAGAACTGCTGAATCCAAACTTCGGCGCGCAGTTCCAGGTAATGCTGGCATGTGCGAGCGATGCTCTGTACCTTACAGTGTCTTCCCTGGGTGTCAAGCGCGCGTGCCACGCAGGTTGCTCCCACATGGCCTGTGCCCGAAACATGAATCGTATGCGCCTCCTCCGCAGCATCCTCCACAAGAGCCCTCCACGGTCGCCCGCTCTGCTTCGAACAACGCACGCCTGCTGGAAAGCCTCCGGAAACGGGTCGCGAGGTTGGTCCACAAAGAAAAGATTCGCCGTATTGCCCCACGTTGTGCACTGAGTTGGTGCGGCGCGCCTGCGCCCCGCGACAAACGCGTCTTCCTCACTGCTGGAGCCCACGACTGCAAACGCCATGCTCCTTGGTTCACTGATCTTGCTCCAGAGGGTAGTCCTGGGGCTCGCAATGGTAGACGTGCGGCGTGGTGTGCTTTGGAAGACTGGCGCCCCGGTAAGGTCCGCAAGCTGTCTTTGTCAGACGAGGGTCGGTTCGAAGGGTCTTGTGACATCTGCGGCGCGTTGTTCTTCCTCTCTGAGCGCACGCGGTGCGCAGGAGCATCGTACGAGCAAGGGGGTGGTACATCTTCAAAAAAAAACAAAATTCTGCTTCACACGATGCTGCCGCTTAGGCGCTCTATCTGGAATTCCGCGCCTGCCTCCTGCTCCAGAACCATTGGCATCATTTCTGCGCCCGGACTCCTGTACGACCCCCTCTGCGCATGCAGATTTCATGAGGATCGCTCCTACAACTGCGCCCTGGGCTTTGCCTCTTACAACGAAAACAGTCCTTCCACTGACAACAAGCCCAACATTGTCGCCCATTCGGCCGCTCCTGGAAAGGGTCCACCGGTATACGTACTGCACGGTAGAGCGTACCATGCAATGGGAACGTTGTACCCCACAGCTGTACAAATACGACCCGCTCATGGCCACCGAACTTCGCCACGCTGCCTTTCCCAACCTCGACCTGCCAGTGCTCCAACAACTACTGCACATGTTGGTAGAACCGGTCGAGAAAGTCTTCGTCGACGCAGATGATTTCGCCAACCGAGTCGTCCAGGCTAGAAATCCGTACCCGGGCCATTTCCTCAACATGCACGAAAAGGTAGAAGACGCTCGCAATACTTACGGGCAGGACGCCCCGTCCTATCAACTTCGTGTTGCCGGGGGTGTGGAGAAAGATCCTCGACGCTACAATGCGCCCTCTTCCGCCGAAGTCGCCTGTGCAGTCGTCGGTGAAGGACCGTTTCCTCCTCACTTCATCTCCGTCTACGAACGTAGGTCTGACGGCAAGGGTAACACGCAGCAGCTCCCGGCATTGTCCGAGCA